AATTCGGGGAGGGGGAAAAAAAAATAAAGGGTGGGGGGAGAAGGGGGTGCTGGGGCCCAGGGTGCTGAGAGCGAGGGGTCAGAGAGCGCAGCGCAGTCCGGCTCCGCGGGGGCAAGCGTTTAAGGTAAGTTGAAGGGAAAGAAGAATTGATCAAATCTGCTCTAATGGAGAAGCGCGATAGTAAATACTGGAGAGTAAAATGTCAAGACACCCAGATTGGAGAGAGACCCCCCCCTCCCAAATGCTAGAAACGAAGCCCTGTACGGCAGCGTGATACATTCCTCCTCACGAGACAGCGAGATACAGCTTGTTCAATTGGAAAAAAAAAAAGAAACAAAAAAACCAAAAACACAACAACAAAAACAAAACCAACAAGGACTGACAATTTGTGCAAAGTTCCCCACCGCTCACTGCTCCATGGATGGCAAAACTAATTAAGTTTTCTTCATTAATATAATCCTCCCCGTACCCTCACCAAAATAGTATTTTGGTCAAGTTAGGGCAGTTAAGGCATTTTGATGAGTAATTACAAGGTGATTGAAAATAGCTAACATTATGCCAATTTAGGAATAGCAGATAAATTACCGAAGAGCTTCCAAATTAATCACTTACTCTTATTATAAATGAAATGCCTGTTACAAGCATGATGCATTGAAATATAGTAAAATGACATGTACATGGTACATGTTAAAATGATCTTAAATAAAAGCTTGACATAGTTACGCAAATATACAGTACAAGTCCACAAAAATTCTTTAAACAAGTTGAGGTAACCTCAAACTTAAACAGTTTTAATACAATAAACCAGGTAGTAAAAATCTCCTTTTGAGAGCAGGTAAGATTACTTACTGACCGAGTTTAACTGCACTCACCTAAACAGCAACATTACCCGACTTTTTATATATAAAAACATGGCTTTAATTTATTTCTACATACTCTTCTACCAGCAAAAAAGTTAATGAAAAAAACTGACCAAAAATATATATATCTTTACAGCTATCAGCTTTTTGTATGAACCTCGGGGAAGGGAAAGGACAGCTTGCTGGGACGGGGCCGGGGAGGGGGGGGGACACAAACGTGAGCTACTGTCATTCAAAAGGAAATGTCATATTGCAAAGTGGCTGTTAGATACCTGTAAACATCATTAAGGTTCATTCCCAAACCCCTAAACTTTAGTTACTGAAATGTAAGTTTTGCTGATTATTCATTAATTGTTTCCATTCAGGTACGTGCTGCTGCTGCTGCCACAGCGTAAGCAAAGAGGTGCTTGTTGGAGAGTCAGAAAAATAAGGATCAACTGGACTTAAAACTGGTGCAGCATGTTCTGTTCTACACAAGCGAGAGTGGCAATTAGTAACACCAATTATGCTTCGTTAACAACAGAACTCTCTACCAGAAGCGGAGACGTTGGGAGTCGAGGATGATCTGTTCTTTGTGCAACCCCATTTCTGCCGGATCCCCCCGCCCTGGCGAGATGGGTTAAAATGCTGAAAGGACCTCAACTTTGGCCAGCTCGGCCTCTCGAGACCGAGGTAACATTTTTTTAGTTTTTTGTTTTTTAAAAAAAATAAAGTAGAATTATCCACAGCCAAAACATCCAGATACCAGGCCCATTATGGACGAATGATCTGCAGAACTTTTAAGATCACAGTTAAGCACCTGAAATCACAAAACACATTTGCATCCATATAACTTGAACTAAGTATGATTTTTTTTTCTTTTTTTTTTTTTTTTTGAAATTCCCAACTAGAAAAGGCTCCTAAGGCTGACACCATGGATGGCAAGAGCAGAATGTTTACAGCAGTTATAAATCTCCTGAAAACTGGAGCTCAGAAACACGAAACCTCAGCTATCACTGTTAACGAGACTATGCTTACGGAAGGTGTTCTGTAACATACCCCTTAATGAAGAGTGAACGTTTCTAGTGAAGAGAGTAACGCGCCCTCTGGTAGAGGCTTTACCTACTGAATCTAGTTTGAAAGGTGATAAAACCAAATTCTACTCCTTTTGAAAGTTAAGTCACATTTCAAGCGCAGTGGGATCGATCCTCCCCCTTTTTAAGGACAACGACAAAGCTCTGAAAGACATGCTTCAAGCCTTGAGCTTCTCCATTCCTTGCTGGCGGACGAAGACCAGTGTCACAGAGAGTGGTTCTTCACCAGGACTTCGCTCGCGTGGTGACGGGCAACGAGCTGGAGAACCGGCTGCTGGGATCAGGCGCGGAGGAAGAGAGCGATCCTGCCAGCAGGAAACCGTACGCGTGAGTGACACCGGGAGCTCGGGGACAAGGAAAACGTCAGATCAGTCTGTGTACTCGGCTACAATGGACAGAAGGACGGTGATGTCATCTGGTTTTCCCCCTGTAATAAAGGAAAAAAAAAAAAAAAAAATCAAACTAATTGCATCAAAGCACAGCGGGTCGGCTGCTTACAATCTGTGACGTTCCCCCACGGAAAGCTCTTGGAAAAATAAATACTGAAAAACCTGTTTTGTGTAGACAGAAAAGCTCTGCTTCCCCCACCTCCTTTCCGAAATGCAGCTGAGGGGAGCAATGACATTGAACAACAAAAAAGCGCTCTCCTTTGAAACCGTAGTGAGTTCAAGAATTATTAAAAGGAGTGCAGAACCCTCAACGTTGTTGTCAGCCACGCCAGCAGAAAGCCTGGTTCCTACCAGATGATTCCAGGAAGGAATTTTTCACTGAAAGAGTGGTCGGGCATTGGAACAGGCTGCCCAGGGAGGTGGTTGAGTCACCGTCCCTGGCTGTGTTTAAGGGACGTTTAGATGCGGTACTGAGGGACATGGTGTAGGGGAGGACTTTGTAGAGTGGGGTAGATGGTTGGACTCGATGATCCCAAGGGTCTCGTCCAACCTCAATGATTCTATGATTTAGTGTTTGGTTTTGTTTGTTTTGGTGCTTTTTAAATAAATGTACAAAACCCTGAGATTGCTTTGTTCCAAGCAAGATGCGATAAAAAAAGAAGTACCTTCTCAGGAATTTACTGTAAATCAAACAGCTCTTTAGCACCTGCTCCTGCATTGCTGCATATCTTTCTAGAAGCTACTGAAGATTTTTAGTAGTTGCTTTTCAAACCTGAACAGCAAGAGCAACACTGAAATCCTACAGAAACAGCTGAGAGAGGAGGTATTTTCTCCTGTCGGGAGTAAACCCACTCCCTTGGGGTTGGATCTGCAGTTTCATGACTGAACGACTGAGCTTTGTAGCACCAGGGAGCCTGAGCTTTACAGCTGCTGCCTCTACCTTTAGGGAAGATGCTGAAGGGTCTTGCAGGAAATCCTGCCCTCTTGATACAGAGATCATGAGAACACCTTCACTAGCAGAATTAGAGATATTAAAAAAAGAAAGGGAAAATGAAGAAAAGTGTTTGGTGGGACCCTGGAGTCTGCCAGGCGTCAGGATCTTTCTAGAGTGCAGGAAATAGAACCAGAGAGTTCAGGATGGGGACACTGATGGTACAAGGGTCAGAAATTTGAACCAAAAAAAAAACCCAACACCAAAAGGCAGGCAGAGTCTAAAAATACATCAATAATACTAGACCTTAAAAAACAAACCCCCAAACCAACACCCCCACACCACCCCCCACGGACCCGAATCCAATGAGTAAGTCAAGTACAGTCTCCCCAAGAGCCTGGAGAACATGAGTCAGGCAGGATTCCTGGGGCAGGAGTGTATATATTAGATTTTAAAAAAATAAAATAAAGTAAAATCAGCGCTCTGCGTTCCCTGCGTTCCAGCTGCTTCCCCACGGGAGGCTTCTGCTCAGCCAGGGCCTGGGATGACCCTGCGGCAGGAGCTGGGGTCCCTGCCAAACCCAGAGCTCTGGATTGGTGCTCTGCTGCCAACCACATCTCCTAATGCTCTGCTTTCCCATCAGACTGTGGAAGATCAGAACAGAACTTTGCTTAAAGGTTTCTCAAAGACGGCAGGAGTGGGAAGAGGAGAAAAAAAAAAAAACCCACCCAACCACCAAGCTCTTACCTCTCACATTCAATCCATTGTCACATGCAAACTGTGCAAACGGCGACATGTAAGTGGGATCATATGCCAGCTCGTGAGCTTGCTCAGCGATGCTTCTTGCAGTCTGCTGTATACTCTCATAGTTGGAGTTCTAAATTAACGAGGAAAACAGTTTATTCTTACAAGAAAGTAGTCTCCCAGCAGTTGTTTTGCTGCCGTGTGTCAGTTTTACAAGCCCCTGAGGCCTGACCTTTTTCTCTCCCCATTAGGGCACCAGTTACCACCTTCTCTTCCAGATGGAACCCTCACCATCCTTTAGGCTTTACAGATGGGGGGTAGAGCTGCAAAGCTTCACAACTGAAACCCAGAGCTCTGTTCCCCACCAGCAGCTCCAAGACTTGGTTTTGGAGGATTTATGGAATTTAGAAACTTGGAAGACTAATGCTAAGACTAAAGAGGCTCCCCTGCAGGACACGGGCTGCCCTTCCCTCACAACTCTGCTGAAGTCATTGTTTTACCTCAAAGGGGAAGTCTGACTTCTCTGACCTTCTCACCCAAACTGACCAGAGCACACTTGGGAAGAAGGGGCACTTTAAAAATTAGATGAGAAAAAATTTATTTAACCTGGAAACTTTCTACAGACTGGATTTTAGTGCCATGTTTTGCCTGTTTCAGTAACTCCGCTGCTTTACTCCAAGACTTTTCCTACTCAAGCCAACCACTGCTCTTTGTGTTTGTAACTATTTTAAAATGCCTTGTCATTTCAAGAGCCTTCCCCGCAGCTTGGGGAGGCATTTACGTGATTAACTTTTGGCTGAACCTCACGGGGGACTTCAGTGCCTTTTCCCAAACGCGCCAAAAGGTGGAGCTCAACTTTCTTCCACAAGGGAATTCCATCTCCAGCGTCCGCCCAGGCTTAAGGAAGCAAGAGGAAGGTGGGAACACAGCGGAGAGAGGTTTGATCTGGCTGCAGCCAAAGTCACAGCCACCCAGGTTAGTGACACCAGGCCCTTCCCAGCCACCACCGCATCCCCAGACATCCTCAACGCTTGTTGTCACCTTCACTACCCAGACTGAAGCCTCTGTGATGGCTCCTGCTGCAGAAGGGTCACATTTTCCATCCCGCAGCGCAGCTCTGCGCTTCTCAATGTCAGACCTGAATATTGCACCGAGGAGAGAGCAACAGCGGGGGCTGCAGGGGGGAAACACAGGGCTCTGCCTGATGCAGAGGCCTCTCAGACAGTTTGTCTGCAAGGACCCGTTCTCTGCCTGACCCCACCTTTCAGTTCCGTAGCTGCAGGATAAGAGCAGGCTAAATTTTTTGAAACCGCACTCTAATTCTACGTTAACCTCATTTGCATTTCATAACATCAAAATAGTTTCCTCAGGGAGGTTATACATATTGATACCTCCTAAGTATACTTGCCTTTCTGTAAGTAAATAGCCTTGAGCTAAATGTTCTCATCCAAATTAACATATTTTAATGTATTTTTACTATTTAAAAAGAACATTTGTGGTCATTAACCTGGAAAAGTTGCCAGGTACTTTTTTAGAGAACATTAAAGATGCACGCACAACCCACAATTCAGACAGCCCATGCTCGTTTGGAATTACTGCTTTACACATCTTGAGAAAAGCTTCAAATTATTTTTAAGCATTCAGCTCACCCCCTCAAATAACCTGGGAGAGAATGTACGATCTACAGCCTGCAAGTACAGATAAAATCCAAGGTGTGAGGAGCCTGGCCATGGGCAGCTCTTCCTCCTCACCCTCCCATCCCCTCAGTGACTCGGTACCAGCTGCAACTTGGGAAGTTTATGCCCAAGATGCTGCTTCTGGACTCGGCCTGATGCAGATCCAAGAGACAGTGCTTTGGGGTCAACGTCCCTTTCTACTGCTTACACATGGCATTCAGTGAAAAGCCTCTGAACAGTAGCACTACGTGGTGCATGTTTTATATATAATACAAAAGTTCTGTGCATAAGAAGTAATGGGATTCAAGTGAGGGATAACCAGCCCAAGAGGAGTGAGCGATCCAGAACACACACACACACACACTCACCTTCAGCTTTTTTAACTCCTGCAGAATCATGTAGTCAGGCATGTTGTCAAACAGCCCGTCTGTGGCGGTCAAAATAATGTCTCCGAGCTGGACATCAAAAGAAGTGCTATCGGCAGCGTCGGGGCTGTGAAGAGGACAGAGAGGTTAAAGACAAGGCCTCCAGCTTTCACCAAGGCACCGAGCAATGGCAAACCAGCCCAGGAACAGCTTTTGTCACTCACTACTCATGTGTTTTGCTGCAAAAGGGGAAAAAACAATCACTAACTGTGGAGCTTTTGCACCAGGATGGCTTGTCAAGAAAGCTACAACAGAAGAAGTGTGATTGCAAACAGGTAATGTTCCAGCTATTACACAAAGGATTTGCATTTAAAATTCCCAGATGAACAATCCTGCAAAGTAATCCGCTTCACAAGTGTATCTCCATGGAAACCATTAAGTAGAATGGCAGCTCAGGGCTTCCTTCTCACTCATCTTAAATATGTAAGAGCTGTACTTGAGAGGACAATTCATAACAGGAACGGCCAAAACACTTTAGGATTTTGAATCACTTTTGAATGCGATGGATTATGAAACGTCTGGAAATTGCTACCAGGAGACCGTGGCCGGTTGGTCCACTTACAGCTAATATATTACACAATGCCAAGAAGAGAAAATATCTATTTCAGTCATGAACATTGCTGTAAAATCTGATTCTTAGAAGCAGCATAATGACAAACCCTTCATTTTTAAAGATTCTTCAGGGGTCTTTAAGAGAAACTGCTGCAGCCCATGCCATTTGGCTACAACAAAAAGCAGAAGAGCTGCTTCCCTCAACTGAATTGTAGCTTCAGGAAGGTTAAGAGTCAAGACTGCCTGCCTATTCCCATAGATAGCCAAACTTAACATTTAACTGGGACAGCAAATCAAAAAAGAAGTACTGGAGAAGCGTTTAGACAACACGCATGAGTACTAATTAACGTCAAGAAGAGAGCAGAAACTAGCCAGAAAGCTATAATCATGATTCAGAACTGAAGTGTGGGAGCTCATTTATCTTGTGCTTTCCTTATTAAGTGATGACTCAGATTACTTTGCTTTCCTGACTTCCACTGGACATTATCAATCAGCCTCGTGCTTTTCTGTTCTGTCTTCCCATGGATGACAGCATCTCAGAAAAGTTAAGGTATTTATAGTTCTGGAATTTTGAACAATCATTTAATTTTAGCCTAATAAAGAGGTTAGATTATTTAAGGTTCTAGTTTCAGAGTTCTACCCGGGCTTCCACTCTGCAGTCTTATGATGAAGTAATAAAACCACATGCAAGAATGGGCAGGAGTTTCAACAACTTAAACAACATTTTCAAAAAGAGCTATTTTGCCATTAAAAGTTATAACATTTAAAACCTTTAAAAGGCTTTAAATCTCAAGGCTGATGCAGCATCAAAACCATAAGATGCCTGTTGCATTCCTTGGATACTATGGTCACTTTTTGAAGATCCCTTTATCATCCTCTTGTATTCAGAAGGGGCACATCACTTTAGTGAGTGTATAAGCATTAATTTGAGAGCTGGATTTTAAGACATACTTGAAAGCCGATTTATGTATTTTTAAGATATTTTATTTTACTGGTGAAACTTCACAAAGTCAGAGGATGGATCAGCCTGACATTCTTAGGGGAAAACACAAGTACAAGTCTGCCTTTGAAACGACTCATTTCTGTGAACAGATTGTCCTTTCCTAATACACTCATTTCCCAGCTTGATGTTCCGCCAAACAGTTTTTTTGCTCGTTTTGGTCAAATACAATATGCTGCGGGAAACACAGCTATTTGGAAACACAAGTTACAGTCACATGTCCCCTCTGCTCTATTCTTCAAGTACTCGCCTACCTCACTGCCAAAATATCTAAATTAGCCTACTCCAAAGCAGTCTCAGGAGAGCACAGACAGGGACTGGGAACGAAAGCCACCGATAAGAAAGGCCACTCGTGTGGGGTGAGCAGCATGAATCCAGCTGCAGTCTTCAGGCAGCAGCTTTATTCAGGAAGGTCTTTCTATGTGTGCACACACAGAGTGCACAGAATAAAAATTTACGACCCTCTCCCATCTTACCTGTCACTTAAGACAACTCCTTCTGCTTCTGGCGGAGCTATGGACAGTTGGAAGGGAGTGTTGAAGTAATGCTGCTGCTCGTCAGATCGATGGACTACTTCTCCTCCTCTGACCACCAAAAATCCAGAATCTCCCAAGTTGGCTGTATGTAAACGGTGACTTGTTCTGTCCAGAACTACTATACAGGCTGTACTGCTTCCTGGGAGCACAGAGAGGACAGGAACTGCAGTCAGCCTTGCACAAATTGGTTATTCTTTCACCGGTTTAATTCCTTAGTCAAATATTCCAATTATTCCAATATTTATCAAAGCTTACAAATCAGGACAAATGGAAATACTAAATAATGCCAAAGTCAATATATACTAAATATACAGAATGCTAGAAATCTTTGCGAGATAAACTACAGTTTTTATATAGAACTTATTTTTTCCTGCTTTGATTTTGGTAAACACATTATGCTGACAGATACCTGTTTTGTTCCACTTTATTTACAGTTTTCCATCCCAACATATGTCAGCACATTCTGCTATAGGACTGGATTTACAGAAGTCACATAAAATACTGAAATTCCGAAATCATTGAGCTAATAGAATTCTAGTAGCATCCATACAATGCCAGGTGCCCTCCACACAGTTTCACTCATCAGCTGTAAATAAATCACGCCAAGTAAAGAACTGCTTGCAATTAAGTACTAGGTATTATTGCATTACTCTTGTCAGAAGATTAAAATGCTTTTCTTCATAGTACAGCCCTGTAGAGCTATCTTTATGCTTGAAAAAAATAATCCCATCACATCTTCAGGAAACAAACTTCACAAGTTTAAAGAAAACATGTTTCAGAGACAAATACTATTCCAGATTAAAGTTAAGATAGCGTGGAAGAGTATCTGCTCATCAGCCATGCCCAGAACTACCCCAGCCATGCCTGAGGGCACCGAGGAATTCTTGATTCATTCACTGCTAAGAGGCCACCAACTGTGCTTGGTTGCAAGCCACAAAAATAATGTACTGCAAAGACACCCATTCACAGACCGAGTCCTTCACAGCAATCAGCAATCACTTCATTTCTGCAAACAGGACAGCACATCCACCAAAAGAACTTTCACTCCCAAAGAGGGTGAAATACAGCTAAAGCATTTCTTCTTGAGTGCTACCTCTAAGCTAAGTCCCTACATGACCAGCTGGTGAACAGTCTTCATCCTCCATCCTAACGTTCTTCCAGCAGGAGTTTCCAAGTGCAGCTCCATGTTGGACAGACCACAGGCTCGCACTGAGCTAAACTTACAACCAGGCTTGCTGGTGCAGAGTCCATTTCTTCTTGAGTGCTACCTCTAAGCTAAGTCCCTACATGACCAGCTGGTGAACAGTCTTCATCCTCCATCCTAACGTTCTTCCAGCAGGAGTTTCCAAGTGCAGCTCCATGTTGGACAGACCACAGGCTCGCACTGAGCTAAACTTACAACCAGGCTTGCTGGTGCAGAGTCCAGCTGGCTCTAGGCACCACCTATTCCAGATGGTGCTACCTCTAAGCTAAGTTCCTACATGACCAGCTGGTGACCAGTCTTCATCCTCCATCCTAACATTCTTCCAGCAGGAGTTTCCAAGTGCAGGTCCATGTTGGACAGACCACGGGCTCACACTGAGCTAAACTTACAACCAGGCTTGCTGGCTCTAGGCACCACCTATTCCAGATGTTTCCCCTTCTCATACTGGGAGATCTCTGCAATACACTCACACTTAAACCACTCTCTAGTGAATATATAGGACCTTCTCCACTCTTAGTGAATGGTAAGTCAAAGCAGTACCTTAGGAAAAAATCAGATTTTTTATGTGGCTGCGTCCAAGATTGTTCTGCAATACATGAACTGTGTTTAAATAAATGGCACAGTTTCCTCTCACTTCAGTCTTATTTTAAAATATTTGCTAGATGCAATTCTGACAAACTAGATGATCTCTATGGTCCCTTCCAACTCTAAAAATTCAGTGAAAACTAAGTATCGAGAGTTAGAGCACAAGAGCAAGGAAAAGTTACTGCCTAATGAATCCTCCTTAATGAAGTCCTCTCCCTTCACTTTAACTGAACTCTAAATGCTCATTGCTTTGGTAATTCTGGGGGTTTATTTCTACTTCTAAAAATACTGTTCTCCGTTAAAGGAGAAACACTAGGGATCATTAGTTTCAAATTCTAACTCTATTAGCAGAGTGTAACTAGGAGGCCATGTGTGGAATGCAGATCTTGTGACTCAGCATATGCTGCTTTTCAGAATTCGAAAGGTCAAGCCAAGCAGAGCTGCCTCCGTCTACAAAGCCGCGGCGAGAGCTCTCACCAGTGGCCCACTTCGTAGATCCCTTACAGCTACATCTGCTTTGCACAAATAAGCACTATTACACAGACAGAATCCTAATGTAATTACCGACCGCTGCTATTTTAGCGACACGTAAGGTCACTTCTGAGGTTCAAAACCTATTCTTTAGGCATATAATGCGAGAACATCTGTTCCGAAGCTCAGAAGACAAGTTAAATATAGCTTACACAGCACTCCTCTGGCAGAGGAGTTTAAGGTCAGGTGAGAAGCATGCGTATCACGCAGCGCAACGCTGTCGTGGTGCGTACAAGGTCACATGCCCTTTAAAAACGTATTCTGTTTTCAAGGTTGTCAGCTGAGGCCAAATGTTGCCTCTCTATCTGGCTCACTATTCAAGTTTGACACAGAATATTTTAAGCATCTACTTTAGTTTGCTTGCAAAAAAATCTGTAACGATTCCTTTCCCAAGAATTATAAAAACAATATACAGTACCAGTGATTGTATGATATAAGCTTTATATGCTTATATCATATAAGCATATGTGTTGACTTCAGTAACTGAAGTCAACCAATGAGGTTTAAAGTTCATTGGACATAAAAGGCAAGGGGAGCAGTAAGGCAAGGAACGAGCAGAACTGCATCCAATTATCGTCAGAAAATATTTTTGCTTGCATAGCTTAAGCAGAAAGCCACAACCAACCATTAAGAGTTTTCAAGGGAGAACAGTTATTTAT